GAGTTTTTCATCTGGAAAACTTTCTCCTTCCCTGTAAATTCACTGAGGAAGAGGAGGAAGAGGAGGAGGAGGATGTTCCCAAGGATTTTGTGATATAAACGTGGCTTCAGCAGAAGCTTTTTTGTCCCTCAGCAGAATTATTAATTAACTCAAAAATATTACAGCGATGGGGGATTTTGCATTGATAAATGCAGATTATCCCAGTTTGGCTGGAACCTGAAAATTTCAGTTTCTAAACCAGAGTAAAACCATGTTTGTGCTTTATTTTGGGCAGTGCAGAGTTTGTGCTTCCTCCCCCTACCCTCCCATCATCCTTATCCACATTCCTATTGCTTGAAAAAAATATGGAAATATTTAATTTTTTCTCCTTACCTTGATATATTTAATTATTACTTTTAAAATGCTGTCACAGAGCGGGTTCAGAATCAGCAGATTCGCGTTCCAATTCCCTGACACAATTTGAAACAGCAAATTCGATAAAAATCTCTTATCTCAGTGCATTAAACATTCACCCACGGGTGGATTGAGCCTTTCCTGGCTGAGTTTTTGGAAAAAGCACCAAAAAAATTGGTTGGAAATTGTGTGTAAAAACTCCAGGGAATTTTTTTTTGTTTTGATGCCACCCCATCTTCTTTCAGGCTCAGGATTTTGCAGATCCAGGGCAGAAATCACTGCTGGCAATTCCCGAGCTCTCCTCTTTATTATCCCCCCCCAAATATTTGGAAGCTGAAGTCGTTAATGTCGGCTGGAATGCGGAACAGGCGATCCCAAAAACATCTTGATGAAATTAGAGGGGAGGTGGAGGGGAGGAGGGCTGGAACAAAGAGCCCGTTGAGAGCTGGCACTGCCCGGGCTGGGAATGAATGGTTCTGCAGCCAAAGGGGTGGCAGAGCCTCCTGCACGGGGACAGAGCCACCCCAGGGACACAAAGGGGTGGCTGTTCCTGTGGTGGGGACTCAGAGAGGCCTTTTGGGGTGGGGAGGGGATGGAGATGCTGGAGGTGCAGGTTAAACATCCCTGAGAGCTTGTGGGGTGACTCCTTTGGGTGCTGCTGGTGCTTTTCCAGGTTTGGAGTGGCCTCCTGGGCTGGAGAGGGACAGGAGATCCTGGGGGTGCAGGTTTAACATCCCTGACAGCTCCTGGGATGACTCCCATGGGTGCTTTTCTGGGCTCAGAGCAGCCTCTTGGGCTGGAAAAGGGCAGGAGATGCTGGGGGTGCAGGTTCAACATCCCTGAGAGATTGTGGGGTGACTCCTTTGGGTGCTGCTGGTGCTTTTCCAGGCTCAGAGCAGCCTCTTGGGGTGGGAGAAGGATGGGGAAGGGCAGGAGGTCCTGGGGGTACAGGTTAAACACCCCTGAGAGCTCCTGGGATGATTTCCTTGGGTGAAGCTGCTGTTTTTCCAGATTCAGAGCAGCCTCCTGGCCTGGAGAAGGGCAGGAGATGCTGGGGGTGCAGGTTAAACACCCCTGAGAGCTCCTTGGATGACTCTCCTGGGTGCTTTTCCAGGTTCAGAGCAGCCTCCTGGGGCTGGGGGAAGGATGGAGAAGGGCAGGAGATGCTTGGGATGCAGGTTGTACATCCCTGACAATTCCTGGGATGACTCCTTTGGGTGCTGCTGCTGTTTTCCCAGATTCAGAGCAGCCTCCTGGGCTGGAGAGGGGCAGGAGGTCCTGGCGGTGGAGGTTAAACATATTAGAGATCCTGGAATGATTTTCTTTGGGTGCTGCTGTTGTTTTTCCAGATTAAGAGCAGCCTCTTTGGATGGGAAGGAGCAGGAGATGCTGGGGGTGCAGGTTAAACATCTGTGATAATTTCTGGGATGATTTCCTTTGGGTTCTCCTGGTGCTTTTCCAGGTTCACAGAGGCCTTTTGGGGTGGGGAGAGGGTGGAGAAGGGCAGGTGATGCTGGAGATGCAGATTAAACACCCCATATAATTCCTGGGATAACTCCCCTGAGTGCTTTTCCAGGTTCAGAGCAGCCTCCTTGGATGGGAGAAGGGCAGGAGATGCTGGGGGTGCAGGTTAAACACGCCTGAGAGCTCCTGGGATGACTCTCCTGGGTGCTTTTCCAGGTCCAGAGCAGCCTCCTGGGCTGGGGAGGAGCAGGAGATGCTGGGGGTGCAGGTTAAACATCTGTGATAATTCCGGGATGATTTCTTTTGGGTTATCCTGGTGCTTTTCCAGGTTCAGAGCAGCCTTTTGGGGTGGGGAGAGGGTGGGGAGAGGATGGAGATGCTGGGGGTGCAGCTTAAACACCCCTGAGAGCTCCTGGGGTGACTCTCCTGGGTGCTTTTCCAGGTTCAGAACAGCCTCTTG